AAGCCGCAGATGATGTGTTTGTTTTCTAGTCTCCTTTTTTGCTTGAATAACATTATTTTATGTTAAATCTCAGACTAGAACATATGTAATGATAAATATGCCAGCAAAGTCCCCCTGATTCTGAAAGATGGTTTCCCCAGGGGCAGGTAACTGATTGCTAAGGTCTTGTTAAACAAGAAGATTCTGAAACTGCTCTTTCAGGTTCTTCCTGTAGACCTGCCTCATTTTTGCTTGACCTTGCCCCCTTCCTGTAGAGTTACCAACCTCCAGGTGGTGCCTGGAGATCTCCCAGAATTACAAATGATCTCCAAACAATAGGGATCAGTTGCCCTGGATAAAATGGCTGTTTTGGATGGTGGACTCGATATACTCAGCATTATACTCAGCTGAGGTCCTTTTCCTCGCAAAACTCACCCCTTCCTAGGCTGTACCCTCAAAATCTTCAGGAAAATTCCCAACACGGAGTTGGTAACCCTATGTTCCTCTCTTTGATTTTCTTCAATGTACCAGCCTGGTCCTCTTATTTATCTGTTTAAAACATTTAGAAGACAGCCTTTTCCCCAGGCAACTGGGATCCAAGATGGGCCATAGATTCAAAACCATATGCATGACAAAAAAAATTTAAAACCTCAAAATGATTAAAACCTTTCTAACTGCCAACAGAAACACTATAAAAATCCACAAGAGAGCTCTTCTCCTATAAGAAAATCAACAGACTACAGAAGCCACTGATAGCTTTATGTATATGGAGTAGGACCTGTAGACCATATCCATTTCACTCATAAGATAGTCCATCTTTAAATCTGTCACTGGGCCCAATGCTTCGCTCATCATATGCTTCAGATTCTCTCCTTTGCTCTCTGGGACATCCTGGAAGCAAAGAACCAGATTTGCTTTTTCCATTTGTATTTGTAAAAGCTGTTCTTCTGTTGAGTTTTGCTTCTTTTCCAATTTATACACCTTTTTCTTCACCTTTTGTGTGGTGGCATCAACCTCTTTCACTTTCTCTGTTGTTTGGTTCAGGATTTTAAGCGTATCGTTGATTTGTGTCTGCTGGGTAGATATGCATTGATTCATTTTTGACAGCTGCTCTTGAAGATTACTCATCTGCTCCAGCAGGGGGCGCAGGGACTCTGCCATCGTTTTAGCCAACTCAGTGGTTCCTTCCGGTCTTGGACTCTCAGTTCCTTTTGTTTTTAAAAGCTTCTCCTTCTCCGTCCTCTTTCCCGCCATCTTTATCGATTGTTTACTTTTGCCCAGCTTTTAAAAGTCTCTGAATTTGCCCTCCACTGCTCATGCGTGCCTTGGTAAGTCTTTCCAGCAGTTTTTTAACCGCTTCACTTCTACCCCCCCGATCTCGCTTAGAGTTTGTGCGTCTGGGAGGGGCACGCTTTCCCCTCTAGTCCGTGGGGTTTGGGGGGAGCTTTCTTTTTAGTTTATCAAATCGCTTCCATCTGACTCACGTTCATTATCAGCCACCTGACCTCTTTTACTTTCGTTTTCCACCGCTCGATCTCCTGCGCTTGTCCCGGCCAGCTTCACTAATTCCAAATGGACACAGACGGAGGGACCATGGGGACGGAGAAGCGCCTAGATTCCCCAGCATCGTGCTGGGGAAAAGGCAACCTCTCAGACGTCCCTTGGCCAGGAGGCTTTCGCCAGTCTCCTGGGGGGAGTGCGATACATTGCCTCCCCTCCTTTCCACCTGCGCGCAGTTTCACCCCCGGGAGGTCTGGGAGGTGCGACTGCTCAGCATGCAGCCATCCATCGGAGGTTCTAGCATTAAAGTTGTGAGCAGGTGATTTGGCTACTGCATAAATTAGTTGCTCTGGAGCCATCCTTCCTGAGCTAAGACAAAAATGTGTGAGCCAGAGACTAAAAATCTGTGAGCTAGCTCACAGTAACTCAACTTAGAGGGAACACTGGTGGTGGGCTAGATGGACCATTGGTCTGATCCAGCAGGTCTCTCATTATGTTCTTAACGCAGCCTTGCAAGGTTTGACATAAGCAGCCAGTGCTATGAAGTTGCTGCATGGGCTTGTATCACAAGAGGTGATATTTTCTCCTGCATCATCACTAAGGAAGACTGTGCATGCCGGCATTCTTCTCTCTAATCATATCTCATGCCAGCCTGAGGGAAGCAATCAGTGTTCCCTCTAAGCTGAGTTAGGGTGAGCTAGCTCTCAGTTTTTTAGCCTCTGGCTCACACATTTTTGCCTTCGCTCAGGAAGGAGGGCTCCAGAGCAAACTAATTTATGCAGTAGCCAAATCACTCACTCACAACTTTAATGCCAGTAGCTCACAAAGTGGAATTTTTGCTCATATGACTCCACAGCTTAGAGGGAGCATTGGGAGCAACTCCACTTAGACCGAAGCAGTCCCAAGGGCTCTGAACTCTGCTCCAGGTACACAGCCTGGGCTGTCACTCCTTGTTCCCTGGTGTCATTTCTTAGCCCTTATAATGCATTTCATATCCTCACCCTCTTCTAATTTATAATTCAGGGAGTTAAGCTGATGCTAAAAATTCAGTGACGGCAACCGGGCTTAAGGGCTTATCTCTTGTATGCTATCTTTTCAGAACTAATTTTGTCCCTTGTTACAAAGAACATTTTAATCCTTTTTAAAGGTGGATTTAAAATAAAACTACCACCACCTCCCCAATCCCTCGTACCATTTGCCACGCAGGCTTGCCTTCCTTTTGGTTAATGAGTGAAGCACTGTCACATTCAGGCGTTCCTTTGCATGCGACTCATTGGCAGGATGCTGGGAAAAGCGCAGCCTGAAGATTTGGCTGACTGCAAGCGCTGGGTGTAAAGCCTCTGCCACTTACCCTTGCTAATCGCAGTACAATTGTGGCCTTGTTTTTAGGGTTGCCAACCTTTAGCTGGGGCCTGGCGATCTCTTGGATTTGCAACTGATCTCCAGGCAATAGAGATCAGATCCCCTGGAGAAAATAGCTGCTTTGGAGGGTGGATTTCATGTCACTGGACCCTGTTGTGGTCTGTCCCCTCCCCAAACCCCGCACTACCCAGATTCCACCCGCCCCAAATCTCCAGGTATTTCCCAATTAAAAAGGTAAAGGTTCCCTTGCTCGAAAGCCAGTCGAGTCCGACTCTAGGGTTGCGGTGCTCATCTCCATTTCCAAGCCGAAGAGCCAGCGCTGTCCGAAGACGTTTCCGTGGTCATGTGGTCGGCATGACTAAACACCAAGGCGCACGGAATGCTGTTACCTTCCCACCGAAGTGGTACCTATTTATCTACTTGCAATTTCTTGCTTTCGAACTGCTAGGTTGGCAGGAGCTGGAACTAGAGATGGGAGCTCACTCCATCATGCGGCACCCGGGTCTCGAACTGCTGAACTACTGACCTTCCACAGCCTGCAGTTCAGCGTCTTAACCACTTGAGCCACCGCAGCTCCTATTTCCCAGTTAGGCAACCCTTATTATACTGTAGAGTAAGAGTCGTTCCCTCAGTGATCCCTCCTTCCTGACCAATGTTTTAATTGTTATTTTTATGTCTTTCTATTATTTCAGCTCTTTTAAAAATTGTTCTAATGATGTGTGTGGGTTTTTCTTGGGCGGCATTACTAGTTTCAAAATGTGATTTTATTTGTTAGCTGTCTGGGTGGCCCCTGTGAGGGCAGGAAGGTGGGATATATATGTAAAATAAATACATCAGTAGAAAGCAATAGAATGTTCAGGATGGAATCTAACAGGCGTCACATGCCTGAGGGTTTAAATCAGAATGGCACAGGACATTTTTTGTTTTATCTGCTTACTTTGCTCAGATTCGCAAGGTGTCACTTGCTAGCTACTTTTACTGCTTTTGTATATGGCTGGTTGTTCTGTAAGGTAAAGGTAAAGGTTCTCTTGCTCGAAAGCCAGTTGACTCCGACTCTAGGGTTGCGGTGCTCATCTCCGTTTCAAAGCCGAAGAGCTAGCACTGTCGGAAGACGTTTCCGTGGTCATGTGGCCGGCATGACTAAACACCAAGGCGCACGGAACGCTGTTACCTTCCCACCGAAGTGGTACCTATTTATCTACTTGCAGTGTCTTGCTTTCGAACTGCTAGGTTGGCAGGAGCTGGAACTAGAGACGGGAGCTCACTCCGTCATGCGGCAACTCGGGTCTGTACCTGCTCTTTTTTTCCCAGGTATTTCAACTACGGTTATATTATTTTGTCTAAAAGCCTATGTGCTGTGTAGACTTCCTTGAATAAATGGAATGGTACCTGCTCTCACTTTTAATTACTCTTTCTAGTAATATGATGGCAGTGGTGTTAAAGTGCTGAATTCAAACTGGGGAGACCCAGTTGAAACCCTTACTCTGAAGTTCACTGTCAGTGTAATCTTGTGCAGAGTTACTCCCATCTAAGCTCATTGGTTCCAATGGAGTTTGTCTGAAGTAATTTGGCATAGAATTGCTTTGTGGGTGGGTGACCTTGAGGCAGTCACTGTTTCTCAGCCTAACTTATCTCACAGGATTTTTGTGAAGACAATGGAGTAGATGATGGTAGGCTGTCCTGAGCTCCTTCAAGCAATGGCACGTTTGTCAAATAAATAATTTCAAAGGCCATATTAACTCCTCTGTAGAGCAAATTGCACTGGGTTCCTCTGTAGACGCTAGCTATGCTCTTTAGTTCTTTAAGTGATCTGGGCCCTGCTTACTTCTGCTGTGATTTTCTTCATGTGAGCTTCCTAATAATTAGGATCATATCAGAAGACTTTGCAGATGGTGCCTGGCCAATACTTGAGGTTTGCCAACCTTCAGGTGAGGCCCGGAGATCTCCTGCAATTACAACACAGCTCCAGACTATAGGGATTGGTTCCTCTAGAGAGAATGACAACTTTGAGGGTGGACTCTATGGCATCACATTTCTGCGTAACCCCCCCTCCCTAAATTCTGTCCTCCCCAGGCTCCAACCCCAAATCTCTAGGGATTTCTCAACAAGGAATTGGCAACCCTACTGACACATGGCCTTTTCAGCAGTGGCACCAAACTATGGAAATCCATTCTCATGTAGACCCACCACAGTATGGGAACAATTCTAAGCAAGGTTACCTGAAAGTAAGACCCATGTTATTCGAAGTAGCCTTAGTAGGGATGCCAGTCTCCAGGTGGGGCCAGGGGATCTCCTGATTTTACAACTGATCTCTAGCTGACAGAGATCAGCTCCCCTGTAGAAAATGGCTGCTTTGAAGGGTGGACTCTATGGCATTGTACCATACTGAGACCCCTCCCCTCCCCAAACCCCACCTTCTCCTGGATCCACCCCCAAAATCTCCAGGTATTTTCCAACCCACACTTGACAACCCTAAGCCTTAGGCTTGCAACCTGAGGTCAAGTAGAGTCCAGGTCGTTGGTGAAATCTTGTTTTCGGAGTACATCTTTGAGTTTTGGTGTGCTTTTAAAACTTTTTGGTCACTATGGTTTTATTAGTTATATTTTTTTATTCTGGCTGTTTGCTTTATGCATTTTTGTGGGAGGCAAGTATAATTTTTTTTTAATGAAGTTGTTAATAAGTACAGATTTGCATCTGTCACTCTCCTATTCAGACTTTTAATTTGTTTGAAAAAAATTCTCATAATAATTGTAGGGTGTTTTGTACTTCGATGATGCAGAGAATTTCAAAACAACAAGGAAGGATCCAAAGACTGTCCTAGCCAATCACAGTCGACAGTCACAGTCAATGTTCCCTCTAAGCTGTGGAGACTTGTGAGCACAAATTCTACTTTGTGAGCTACTGCCATTAAAGCTGCGAGTGAGCTATTGGGCTGCTGCTTAAATTAGTTTGCTCTGGAGCCATCCTTCCTGAGCCAAGACAAAAATGTGTGAGCCGGAGGCTAAAAAACTGTGAGCTGGCTCACACTAACTCAGCGTAGAGGGAACACTGGTCACAGTAACAGAATTTTAGGAGGTAATAGAATAAGAGTTAAGTTTTCCATCTTCAAACAAAGGCAATCAGTTGGAGTCAGGAAGTTGGAGTCCGAGGCTGTAGAGCAATAGGTGGGGCTCAAATGGATTTAGCAAATTCAGCTAAAATGTTGACTTTTGCTCTCTCTTTTTTGTCTCACTTCAGGAAGAACTGAAAAGATTACAGCATACCTTGGAGCAAGTTAGCGATGGAAAATATTTACTTGAAAAGTAAGTACTAAAGTTTCTGGATTGCCAGACTAATGGCTTCAAGAGATCTCAACAGGTCCTGTAAATTTTAGGCTGTTTAACCAGTAGATTAATCAACTAATACAGGCTTTAGTTGGTTAATCCATGGGGTGGCCTGGTGCAAAATGGTAAACTCTAGCTTTAAATAATTTAATGGGACTTGGTTTTGTACAAAAGATTTTTTTAAAACTCATATCACATAAGTGTTTTCAGAGCATAAGGATTTTAGGATCATACCTTTCAATGGCCATGCTGAAGGCTAAATTACAGCTGTGTGTAGTTTTCCTGGTGCAGCTGCATGAGGTTTTAGGAGTCGCATAAGGACCAGCTCCACTTGTTAAACTCTTGAGGAATATGCTCCAGTGGTGCGCTTTGCAGAGTAGTGCCATCAAAAGGTCAAGTGAGGAAGTCCAAGAGAGGATCTCTGCAGGACTGCCAATCCCTTGTCTGAGGGAGACACATTTGAGAGCCAGAAGCTGGAGCTTATTCCATTTTAAATGAATAGATTGTTCACGACTATAGAAATGTCATGCCAAAATAGAATCTAATGGATAATCTCTCTTTTACAGCCACCAGCTTTCTATGGATGTGGAAAATAATATTGAGAAATATCACATTAATTTACAGCCCCTGGAATCAAAAGTGAAAGTGTAAGTGATCTAAAGTCGACTCTTCTATGTTTGCTTTAGAAATATAGCAATGTTGCCCAAGCTCTGGAGAGATGTATTCATTTGGTTAATGGCCTTGGGTCTTTAAATTATCTTTATGCTTCTTCCTTAAAGGTTCAGAATCACCCAACAGAACAATGGGTTGGATCCAGGCTAAATTGGCAGCTTCAACCAATCTCATCCTTCCCATTCCGGACTGCCCCACTCCATGTCATTCCACCGCATTCTCCCATCCCCCAGTAGCAGCATTTCGTGGAGATCAATGGGCCAGCCACAGTGGGAAGTGGGGGAGGCAGGGATATTGTATTTTGCCACTGGAAAATGCAGTTGGGATCCAACCCACTGTAATGACAGCATGTTTGAGCCCATCTGCATCTCATAAACTTAACAGCTGCCATAGATGGTAAGCAATGTTCCCTCTAAGCTGTGGAGTCTTGTGAGCGAAAATTCTACTTCGTGAGCTACTGGCAATAACGTTGTGAGCGGGCAATTTGGCTACTGCATAAATTAGTTTGCTCTGGAGCTGTCCTTTCTGAGCGAAGGCAAAAATATGTGAACCGGAGGCTAACAAACTGTGAGCTAGCTCACACTAACTCAGCTTAGAGGGAACACTGATGGTAAGTGAAGCTCAATGCAAAACTTAAGGAGCACATTTCACATATTCCAACCTTGAAGCTGGTTATGAAATTCTGGATGGAGAAAGAGAACAAAGTGAACATTATACTTTATATTCATTATAACTTTATAATATTTGGAAGCTTCTTTGCCTTAATAGAGATTACTATAGAAATGAAAATTTGGGAACTTTGGATTATTTATTTGTAACTACCTAAAGCAAAATGAATAATTAGAGTGGTCATATTGTTTGGAACCAATAAGTCAGGTGCCATGTCACCTGCCAACACCTTTCCAGGCACCCGCCAATTCTTTTTAAATGGGTGGGGCCAAATGGGGCTCCTGCCCAAATAAGCATTGGAGATCTTGAGTGGCTGTACAGATTAAAAGAACCACAGTGTTGGTTTTATTCTCTCACCTTTTCCCAGTTTATTCCAGTCCTTTTTGTCCCCCGCACTTGGGCTTTCTCTGTGTGTGTACGTTTGTGTGGTTGGTTCCACCTCCAATGGTGGCCATGTTGTAGCTGAGCCCAACACCCTGTGTCAGAATTCCAAAGGTGCCCACAGGCTCAAAAAGTTTGGGGACCCCTGCCAAAAGTGGTACCAGCAAACGTATTTGTATTGCTTAGTTACTTATTAAGTCGAGGGTCCAATTTTTACAGCAAATGGGCTTCAGAGGTGAAAGGAGTCAAATCCTCCTTGTGTCCATCCATTCTCTGTCACTTCATCCTACCCTGCCAAGAACTACCATTCCTGTCAAGTTCCAGTATTGGATGCCAGCTAACACCCTAATGGGAAGGCAGCAGAAATGGGGCAGAAGTAGGATTAAGTTGTGGATGAGGGAAGGTTTAACATTTCTACCATCTCTAAATCTAAAAACCGCAGGCCATTGCACTGTGAAGTTGAAGCATCAATATGGCTTTGCGAGGACTTGGCACATATTTGCCTAGCCAACTTTTTCATTACTGAAGTAAATTCAACTTTCAGCTGAAAAAAGATGCAGCAGAAGCATTTTAGGGAATATTAAAATATTAATAGACTATTTAAGGGACTGGAAGTTGCAAATTAAGACTGAGTGTGTGCCTCTTAGTGTGGAAAATATTAGTAGATGGACCATTTTTAATGAGGATTTGCTAGGAGATGGTGGCATTAGTTTGGGATTCCAACTAAATAAATAAACAAATAAAAATTGTTGTTGTTGTTATTACAACTACTACTTTCCACTTCTTACTAATACTTACTACTATTGCCACCTATCACAAGTTAAAAGCAGATCCGTACCTAGTTAATACCCAAGATACTCATGCAAATGTGACTAGTAAGTGTTAACTACCTTTATAAAACTGATTGCTCACTGCTACTAACCCAGGGTGTCATGATTTACTAGATGACTTGGAGGAATGTGGTTAGCTTCAGGATTCCAAGCCTACTATGTGCTATTAAATTACTGTGAGAAACAGAATGTTATTAAAGTGCAGCCCAAGACATCCTTTAAGGGTGAGTCTGGGCTGTGGAAGGCCTTCTTGTTTCTTCTGCAAATGTTGATAAATTATCAGTAATATGTTTATCATTAATAAACAGACCAAGAAGGAAAAATCCAAGAACAAGTTTGTAAACAAAGTCTAGAGTTGCTGGAGAAATCTGTAGAACATATGAAACAACACAGTAAAAACCCTGTCTCCAAAATATTGTATAGTTGGTGCTCTATGAATGAATAGGCCCTAATTAGAAAAAATATGCAAAGTTTGTGAATCTCTTTTTTTAATATTGTGTTGAAATAAGCCTTGTGTCATACCAAGCATGTGAAAAGCAGCCCACACAGTGTCTGGGGAGAAAGCCAAAGCGCATGCTGGGAGTAGGTGCATGGCTTTCCGGATGTTGTGGGATGTCACTGAGTGTTTCTTTTTCTCTCCTCCTGAGGTCATGCCTTGCTGCCAGTACTGTCATGGTATGCTGGGAAAGACTAAATAATCTTCATGGATAGATCTAGGTGCTGAATATTTACAAGTATCTCTCTCTCCATATAGGTAGTCTGCGACTACATTTTTGTGTCATTTTAAAAGGGAAATTACCTTGTGGGGCCCAGATCCATGTCAGGCAGTAGTGTAGAAGGATTTTCCCCTCTTATGGATTCATCATTTTGAAACCAATCACATCCCTCCCCCAAGGCTGTCATTAGCCCTGAAAGGAAAAAGTAGACAGGTGCTCTCTTGTTGCCTGTCTTTTTTCTCACTCAGGTCCAATAGTAGCAAGGGAAGGGGGGTTAGTTATAAAGAATGAAGCCCTCACAGGATTAAACCTGCTTTCCCCCCTATTATGGCCTCAACCCAGGTCAGCTGCCCTATTGCGATTTCCTTTTTTAAAAAAGACTGCAAAAATCTGATGATGTTTCTCCTAATGTCTCATGTGGTTTGACCCTTTGCCACACCATTTGACAGTTGTTTTGTGACATATATACAGAACACAGTGCATTCCTTTCAACAATAACATTTTATGTTTGCTACCCTGTATTCACTACAGTGATCGCCACAAGTCCCAGTTTCAACTCAAAACGCGATAGGGCTTATTTGATATTACACTGCCATCTGCTGTCAAAATAGCAGCATACAGGTGTAGCCAAGGATATGATTACTGAATATTTTCTTTGTAAAACATTTGCCTGTGATTCTGAAACTTCTTTTCAGATTGTGAAATCATTACTATCTGTATTGGAAAATGTAGAAAATAAGAGCACATTTATATGCGTACATTCAAGAAGCATGTATAATATGCCTCATCTCACACAAATTAGTTTGCCCTACACAAGGGATAAACACATTAAAACAGCTTTGAAAATAATATATAAAATAATTCAATAAACATTAACATGCAACGTCAAAGCCATGGAGGAGGGCCAATAACAGTTATTGGAGGTATACCAAACCAAACAAAAAGTCTTCACCTATTTGGGTTGGATGGTGAGTGGGAAGGAGAGAAGGAAGCAGGAAAAAGATGCCAGTAGGAAGGAAAAAGGAAATAGTGTGGGGAGGGAAATACAGGGGAAAGTGAAATGCCCCCCCTCCCCAGTTCTTGTGGGTTCCCCACAGTGCAGTTGGGGCCAGTGGAGGGCACTGTGCAACTCAGCCATAGTTTTCCCAAGGAGAAGCTGCCAGGCAGAGGGAAGGAAGGAAAGCTGAAGGTTGGGGGGGGGGGCAGATAAAGGTAGGTTGGGTGATGCTCCCTCTAAGCTGTGGAGTCATTTTTTAAATAACTGTTTTATTTTTTTTCCTACGAACACTGCAACACTACAAACACTAACACATTAAACTAAAAGATAAGCTACACAAGGATCATACAATATGATTAATCATTAGCTTAGTCAAAGTTCCCTCTATAATAAAGTTAATGGAATATAGCTATTACTTACAGCTTCTATTACAAACTGGTATTTGTATAATTAAATCAGGTAAGTGCAGCTTAAACAATTACACTTTCAAGCTTTTAAGATTCTGTTATTTCAGTTTCTTTCCTCTATATTTCTTTTTATCAAATTTCCATTGGACTTTCAGGAGTTTTGGGACCGCAGTCCCTTTTTCTGATTCGAAGTCCTCTTCTGGGTTACTGCTTGCCGTGCATTCCAAACCTCCCAACCCATATGTGCTGCTTTCTTCTTCCATGCCTTGTTCCTCTGTTGTTCTCTTATCATTCACTGGTCTTTGTTGCAGTTCCAAAAACATCTTCGCTTTCAAGACAGAGACTATCTTTTCTTTTTTTATCTTTATAGCTGAAGACCAGTCCCTCAGGTATTATCCATCTGTATGGTCTGGAGTTTTTCTGAAAAAAGCTGGTTAAGTTTTTGTACGGTTTCCTCTTCTTTCTTATTTCAAATGGTATGTCTTTTAGGACTCTAATTTCTTAGTCTTTGATTTTTAGGGTTGTCCCATTTGTGGCCTTGAGCACCATGTCTCTTGTAGATCTCTTTGAGAATCTCACCATTATCTCCCCAGGCAGGGTTTTTTTCTTGATGAATTCTGGATATGTCCTATAAATCATATCAATATCGCTTTGCGATACAGCCACAGTTAAACCTGTCATTGGGGCCAACGCTTCACTTAAGTTTCCCTTCAGATTCTCACCCTTCTGTTCAGGAACACCTTGAAATCTCAGAGCAAAAGTTGATTTTTCCATTTGTAGTCTTAAAAACTGGTCTTTGTCAGAGGTCCTCTCTTTCTCCACTACCTCCAGTCTTTGCTTAATTGCTTTTGTCTTGGCTTCAACCTTTTTCACTGGTTTTGCTGTCTCCTCTGTTTTTAAATTCGTCTCTTTCAGCTGTTTTTGGAGTGCTTCAAAGTTATTATTAAGATTAGTCATCTGATCCAACAGAGGGTGCAAGGCTGTAGCCAACGTATTGGGAAAGTCAGTATTTACTTCCGGTTTGGCAGCCGGATGTGCTGATCTTGTAGTTACAGGAGAGTGCTTCGGTCTCGTCACCATCTTTTCTGCCTGACTAGTCATTGTTTACAGTTCAGGGAAAGTTTTTAAAAGTCAGTGAAAGTTTATTTATAAAGTCGCTTTAGTTGAGTCTGTGCTTTACTTGATTCAATCCAGAATTGCCATTTCTCCTAACCCCTTCTATCACTTAAACAGTTTGTTTAAAGTTGTGGGGGGGGCAGACTCCCTCCCCCTCCATCGTTATAGATCGAGGCTTCAGATGGGCGCTTAACCACATAGCCACTTAAATAGAAATAACATGCTTCATTCCTTGCCAGCTGCAGAGGTAGGGAGAGCTTTGTAATTTCGCTAGATCACTTGTTCGCTGCCATGATGGTGCCGCCACGGTGGGACCTATCAGGGCAAAGAGGAGTCTCAATCCCTTGGCTGCAGCCTCAGAAGAGGCACCTCTCATGCCCCAGGCTGGGAGTCCCCTCCAAGGACTCTGGGGGGAGGTCTGGAATCGTCTGGCACCCCTCCTGTCTGTCGTGTCACAGGCTGCTCCTATTGGAGCTCCTAAGGAGCATGCCCGCCATTCAAGTCACCAAAACCGGACGTCCAGCTGTGGAGTCTTGTGAGCAAAAAATCTACTTTGTGAGCTACTGGCATTAAAGTAGTGAATGAGCGATTTGGCTACTGCATAAATTAGTTTGTTTCTGAGCTAAGACAAAAATGTGTGAGCCAGAGGCTAAAAATTTGTGAGCTATCCCACACTAACTCAGCTTAGAGGGAACACTAGTGATGGGTGAGAAGGACAGAAGCTAGAAAAGGAGAAAGACTATAGGTGCTTTTAGGAAAGGGAAAGGGAAAGAGAAAAAAGTGGGGGAGGGAAAATGAGATGTCCCCTGCAAGTCCTTGTGGGGCCCCCTGCTTGTAATATGTCTAATTCTAAACCTTCCCTCTGTGTTGATTTAAAAATGAAAACAGCGAGTGAAGGCAGGTGCAGGTAGGGGATCGTTTTCTACCGACCTAGTGCTTGTCCCAAGGTTTGCAGAAAAATGCAAAAATGAAGAAAAAAAGACAGATCATGTGGCACTAAATTGCAAGATAGCTGCCATTTTGAGAGAGATGGGCAGGGGGGGAGGAGCGAAGGCCTCTGCCTGTCCGATCCCCCCACAGCTGTCAATCGAATACACGTTTGTAGCAAAGTATTATTTTATTGAAGCCATGATGAAGCAGGAACAAGTTCACTGTTTGGAATAACTACAATGGTCGCGGCAAAGAGTAATAAAGCAGATTCATACTGGCAATAACCAATGGACATGGTACCCGCTCACGCGAGTGGACTCTCATATTCGCGCCCATAGCCTGAGAATCAACAGTTCCTAAAAGATAAACAATTAAGCTTTTCTCACACTCTAATTCATTATAGACTAAGCGAAGCCGACTCTTCCCCGCACCTGTGACCTTGCTGATTACCATAGTTCAAAGCAACACTAGTGTTCATAGAAAGGAATGCATGAGACAAGCAACCGTGCGATTCATTATGCCAGCAAACATGCGCAGTGGGGTATCACTAAGGAACATGAGGGAGGGGGGGGAACCCTAAGCAGGGAAGGTTGTGCACTACACAGAGTTCTTTGGCAGCTTGCTGACACTGCCGGAGCCAAGTGAAAGGAGGCAGTGGCCCTGCAAGCAGGTCAGGTAGGTGGAGGTTGGGAGTCCCCCTTCCACGGGTTGGTCCACCCCCCCTCTCTTTCTCTCTCTGTATGAATGCCCATACTTAAGTTACCAACAAACCATATTTAAATTACTAACTGTATTTATTCTCCTTCACATTATTTTCCCTTCTCAATACAGTAGTACTCCCATTTTAAACAGGACAAAGTTATGGACTTGAAGATGTATCTATAAGATTAATAATTGTCACGCTTCAGTGGTCGCTACGAGCAGAAAGGGGGAGAGCCCGGCTCCAGGGCAATAGTTTTTGGGCAGGGAGAATTTTAGCACTGCCTCCAATGGAAGGGCCAAGGGGGGGTTTCATCACCCACGTCCTCTCGTCCTTCTCCTCTCCTCTATTAGAAGTTTCCTTCTCTTCCTCACTCTCCATTCTGCTCTCTCCATAGAGGGTAGAGGACCATCCTCCCCAGCCTGCGCATCTCCCTGCCTTAAATCCTCCCGCCCCAACCCTGCCCCTCCCCCTTCCATTCAGAGAAGAGTGGCCACAGGGCTAGCCAATTCCCCAATCTCATTGGTTCCCTTCCATCCTTCCTTCTCTCTCGGTCTGGCCAGCATTTCTGCGGTTGTCGCTCGCTCCCTCCAATGTGACTTCCTTTAGCTGCTGGAGCCCCTCTGGCTAGTCGAGCAAGTAAGAGCCCCGGTCCCCCAGGGTATCCTTGTAGGAGCCATCCAAGCTCATTCTGCCATCTGAAAGTGGCATTGACCTTTAAAGCTCTGTGCAGTCGGGGACTTATCATATCTGCAGGACCATCTCTATGTTCCCTGAAGAGCTTTGCATTCTTCAGATCAACATCTACTGGTGATCCCTGGCCCAAAGGACGTCTGCTTAGCCTTAACCGGAGCCAGAGCCTTCTCGGCTCTGGCTCCGGCCTGGCGGAACAACTTCCCAATTGAGATCAGGGCCCTGCTGTTCTGCCAGGCCTTTGGTTGAGGCAGTGGAGACCACATTAGACTGCCCCCCTCTTTACTCCACCCCCCCGCCATTCACCTGTGCTATGCACAGGCACTTTCTGTGTATTGATTGGTGGCACTTTCTATGTACTGATTGGTGGGAATTCTTTGCCACTTGTTAAAAATCAGTAGATTTAGTACACACATAGAGAGGAAAATTTTCCTGAGAGCAGTTTAATTGTATTATCGCCATCTTGTGATTCATGTATAGAATTGAATTTTAATCTTATAATATGATAGTATATTTAAATCTTTTAAATGGTTATATTTACATGTTGTGAGCCACCCTGAGTCCACTTGCGAGGTAGGGTGGGAAAATAAATAAATAAAATAAATACTTAAGTGTGGTTGGATTGTGTGTGTGCATGTGTGTTTTAAGGGGAGTTGAAAGGTAAAGTTCAAAAGAGATGTTTGAAAATATCCAAATTTTGAATGCTGCCATTTTGCACAGTATTGCATGTGGATACATTCTCATTTCTGCTCTAGACAGCATCCCTGCTAAGGCCCTGTTGAAAAGAAATATTAGTTTTGTGCAAACCTGTAAGTCGGGCCTCTGTTCACCCTTGTTTCCAATTGTACCCAGCATTCAGAGAGCCTGGCGTGAATATCTACAGCGTCAAGATGTACAGAACCAGGACCAGCTGGAGAAGCGCAGCCCGTCACCCCCTTCCTTGTCGTCTGACAAAATGAGCAGTTCTATCAGTATGAACACCTTGTCGGATGGCAGCACTCCTGTAAGTCAGGTTTCCACTTTTGAAGTTACCTTTTGTGGCAAACATCCATGCCAGAAATCTTGGTATGTTTCAAGGTTTGGTCCTCATGATGCGTTAGCCACTGAGTAAGCTGTGTGATTCTGCTCGATTTGAGGGGTTGTGTAAGCTGAGGGGATATATTTGTGTATATGTGCAGAGGTGTGAAATGTGTGTCTGGATACTGGGTACATTCCTCTTGACTGGTTGTTGTGTCACTGGTGTTTCAGTCTGGTTGAGTATCTCTTACCTCCCTGTCCATTGTGACTCACATTGAATACCGGCTTAAGTAGCCTCATTACCAGATGTGTAAAGGTAGCATTATTTGTTTCATTGAATTAATCCAGAGTAGACAGAGATCTCTTTCCGCTGGCTAAAAAAAAGAAGAACTGGAGGACTTTTCATAGGAATGGAAGATCAAATGTGGAAGGTGATACTTATGATACAGAACCCTGGTGATGCCACTAACTATATCATGTTATATGAAACTATTGTAGGGGTTGGGTTAACTTGAACTTTTTTATTTGAGTCTCCGAGCTGACACATGTAAAGAATGTAAAACCAAAGGATGATCTGCATGTATGAAGCTGTTGCTGAAGATCCATAGCTCAGAGTGGACTTCAGCCCTTCCAACAATTGGTGCTTTTCACGCACACTAAATAACGCACTTTCAATCCACTTTCAATGCACTTTGCAACTGGATTTTACTGTGTGAAATGGCAAAATCCACTTGCAAACGGTGGCTGGAGTGGATTGAAACTGCATTATTTAGCATGTATGAAAGCTCAATAGAACAATTTACATGTTGAGGCACAACTAACAGAGATGAGATGCTGAGTTAAGCACACCTATGTGAAAGTTAGCTGTTAAGGAAATAAGAATAAGCAGTTTTGCTGTTCTGCTGTTAAGAGGGGATCCCAAATCTACCTTGTGGCTGAGGTTTTTAAAGGGGACTAGTCCCATGAACTAGCTGAGTGAGATATGAATGTGTTTAACTGTGTGTATTATTCCAGAAAATGGAGGCTCTAAGTCAACTGGGGGCTTCCTGAATGGGGGGAAATTGTTCATCTTTCCACAGAGAGGAAAATTATTATTCTCGTTCTGACTGGACCTTGTGACTATAATATGGCTTGGCTAAAGAGTCAGAGCCCCCCCCCCCCCCAAAGTGTAGGAAGAAGGCCCAGATACCAAGCTTTTCTTTCTGAGTATGGAGTTAGAGGCACATCATGGGTTTCTAGTTGGTTGAAGGAGAAGTTGAACGTCCAGAGGAAATGGACTGGGGACCAGAAAGGGCAGAATAAGATAACTGTATAGGGTTTTCAAAGCCTTGCGTGCCACCATAACTTTGCAAGCAGCACTTTTGGGATGAAGCCTGTGTAGTTACAAGCAGCAATTGTAGAGGCAGGAATTATACATAGAGGAACTATACATTTTGGAGGGCTGGGCTCTACTGGAATGGTTTCTACAGCAACGGCCACAGAATTCAATGCATTCAAAACCTTATTTTTATTTACCAGTTTGGGTGGCAAAAATCATTTTGGCAGGGACGTTCCCAATAAATCTTTTCCTGTTAAGACAACCAAGCACAAAGTAAAGTTTCAGTGTTCCAAATCTGGGAAGGTGATGCAGGTAGCTGAATGTTCTATTTTGCAACTAACAGGGGTTTGTTTATTTACAGCATCTATGTGCTGCTTCTCTGCCAATGCACTCGGCAGTTTACAGTTTAAAACAATGGGGAATTTCACATTACCCAGTTTCACCCGGTTTCAAGCCAGTAATGATCCGTTTTGAAGTGAACCGGTATAGTGGTGCCATTTCACATATGGCTTTCCCCTTCCAGTAAAGAGCTGGATCTGAAGCAATTTGCCATTTCAGACTGCACTGCTTGTTCCCGCTTTCCCCCCGCCGTTTTTCGCCCATGCGGGTGATCTCTGGCTTTTTTGAACGTTCACTTTAGAGCGCTATAGCGCTATAGCAGTATAACAAAACACTCCATGCATTCCAATGGGATTGATATAACGCTATTCCGTTATAGCGCTATAATGCTATAACGCTATAAAGCAAACGTTAAAAAAAAAAGCCGGAGATCGCCCACGCGGGCAAAAAATGGCAGGAAAAAGCGCATCGGAACCAGGAGAGGAAACTGAGGAGTACTTGGAAGCGGTTGACAGGTAAAACGCTTCAGCCCTGTTTCCTAAACGGGACAGAAGCGATTGTGTATGAAATTATAAATATATTCCGGAAGGGAACCGGTTTATCAAACGGTTCTGTCTGAAATGACAGACCATAAACCGTTTGGGAACCGTTCCTCTTCCGGAATATATCGCCTGTCTGAAATTCCTCAGTGGCTTATGATCTAAAAGACATGGAGAATGGAAGAGGGAAATCCATGTGGCAACCTTTTCATGATGTACTATAATAAAGATATTGAATGGAACAGGGGCAGTTGCAGGGGAGGGAAAACACAGGGGTTAATGTTTGGGAACTTGGAAAAACGTAAACCTTCAGCCGAAGTGGTACATTCCTTTCTTAGCACTCTACTATTTCATTACTACCTCATTTTCCAGTTCTGTGTGAAATAGGACTTACTTTCAGATCATTAGGTCTTTCACAAAAGAGGCAAATAGATCAACACTAATGGAACCTTTTAATGGAAAGATTCTATCTTGTAGCTCCTGATGCTGTTCACCAGGGCCCCTGTACACTAGAAACTTGCAAAAGCCAGATGAAAGGGAAAACAGGGCCCTTCCGGTGCAGTTTCCAGTGGCAAAAATGGTGCAGGATGGCAGCCTGAGGTCCCTCCCTTCCTGGTGCCCTTTTTGTAGCCAAGTGGAGAAGCAGAGAGCTTCCTAAAGGTGAGACCCCACTAGAATTGGGTTGGAAATCTGTGTCCTGACATGTGGATTTCATATCCTGTCTTTTGGTCTTAAGGGTGTGTTCCTGTACCTTCAAGGGTTGGAAGAAACAAGTGTGGGAGCAAGGACTGTGTGCAACAGGCAGTAAAAGCCAAATGGTTTTAGTTCTGAGCTGCTCTTGACAGGCATTTCAGTAGCCAGGATGGGGAAAGAGCATTAGCAGGAAACAATATAGGCGCGACCCCGGAGACCACATTCATAAGTAATGTAAAACCATGGTTTAGAGTCATGGTGGTTAATAAACCAGATTCAGACTGTGGCTTCAGATCCTGCTTTTATGGACCCTGATGAACTGCAGTTAGCATAGTGGTTCGCATTTGGACAATCTATTCACCAAGTTAGTTAAATTATGGCTGAACCTAGCCATAGTGTCATTTTTAAAAACACCACCAGAGGTCGCTCTTCTACCATGCAGGAATAGTTTACACATTGAATGAATCTGTTTATATTAGTGATAACCCAGAGCTCAGTCCAAAGCCATTAACATTCATCTGGAATTTTTCCAATTCAGTGAGTTATAGATTGTATCCAGACTTGGAAAACATGATTTCTATGCATTTTTTTGGTTGTTCTTAAATTCTAGCTTTGTGTACTTTTTAAAAGAAAAGTTCACAATAGATACTTGTCTATCTATCATTATGGAATTATTTATCCTGTGAAATTCAGATCAAAGTTTTTTAAAAAATAATAATTTCAAGCCATTATTCTTGTATGTGTTCACGTGCTTGCTTGCCTCATACATTGTAATCCACACTGGTCTGTGGAAGAAGCAAACGGAGATGTAGGGACGACTCTGAGATTCCCTGGGTAGGCAAAAATCTAGAAAAGCTTCCTCTCTTTGGGTGTCTCTTGGGGCTGTTAATGGTGTTTCCAGATTGACTGAAAGCAAATAATATGTGACCATCTGGAAATAAAAGGTGTTTTTTCCCCTGCTGGCCAAATCCGTACAGCTGCTGCTATAATATTGTTATTGTCGTTATAAAATGCATTTCAGGTGTTCAAAATACTTCATTGCCCCATAAAGTGTTCTAATTGGTTGGCCTTGAACCCACAGTGGGTCTTGAACTGGTGACTGAGGTACACCATATTCACCCCAACCACAGACAAAAGAAGGAAGTGGAGGGAGAACAGCCACAGTAATCAAGGAACCAAGAGATCACATTGGTCAGGTAGCCCCTCTTCAACCCCTGTGAGAACTTATGGGCTATTCTGGGATGTGGAATGGAGATCAGTTCTTTCACAAGAGAAGAATTCATACTCCATAGTCGGAGCAACTATGACACCTGATCCTTTCTTTTCTGGGTCTGACAGCGTATTTGGTTAGTAGCGTAGGGTTGCCAACCTCCAGGTGGGACCTGAAGTTCTTCCAGAATCACAACTGATCTCCAGACTTCACAGATCGCATCCCTTGTTGGAAATGGCAGCTTTGGAGGGTGGACTCTATGGCTTTGTGGGTTGTCCTCTACAGGCTCCACTCCAAAATCTCCAGGAATTTCCCAGCCTGGAGCTGGCAACCTTAAGTACCAATAACATATTTGACAAGTAGTAGTGGTATATAACTTTCTTATAAGTCAGAAGAGTCTCTTATCTATGTTTAATTGCTGTAGTTTGGCCGAAAGGAGTTCCCTGTTTACTGAATCAAACACCCCCTTAAGATCTAAAAAAGCAATGTATAATTTTGAGTCACTTCTTTTGGTATACTTATTGATCAGATGGAATAGGGTAGTACAGTGATCTAAAGTAGTTTTCCCTTTACAATATATTGAAGATAGGATACATTGAGGATGGGGCTGAAACTGAGAGAATAATGTCTCACCTAATGTCCACTTAGTAGGTTCATGCCTGAAACCACACAGGAGATTTCTTGGTTTGCAGCTCACATTCAAATCCACTCTGCCATCATTCTTTTGTTCCCTGTATGCCCCAGGCAGCAGCAAATGGTGAGTAGCCCTCTGCCACTGGGGAAGGGAAAATACATCCCATACTGGCAGCTGTCAGGAGCCAAAGCAAGCGAGGGTCAGCTCAGTCAGCACTGTACAAACATACAAATGCAAGGTTGTTGATTGGCTAGCGCAACCCCTGTTGACATCAGCAGCCTATGCCTGTTCCAGGGCCCTTAGCCAGTCAACAGCCATATACTTGCACATTGATGAATTACTCCATCCTACCTTTGCTGCC